GGAGCGTTCTCCTCCAGCCGCCCAGGTCCCTCCCCGGCCCTCTCCCAGCTCTTCGGCCCGGAAGGGACCTTCTCCTCTCAAGCAGAGGCCCCCCTTTCCTTAGTTACCCCGACTGACTCGGACTTGGGCTCAGTGAGGCATCCGGCCAGGCGGGGGAGCGGAGCGCAGTCTCCGCGGCTCCCCTTCCCTAATGAAAGCGGGAGCCCTCTAGGGCAGCGTCCGAAACTCGTGGGGAGGGAGGGAAAAAAGGAAAAGAAACATCCAGGGAAGCGTGAGGGCGATGGAGGGGAAGAGATAGAATAAGGAAGGGATGGAGGCTGGAGGAGGGGGCGGGGTGGAAGGAGGGGGGGGCGAGAAGGAGGCAGGGAGAGGGAGGGAGGGAGGGATACAGAATGAATCCTTCTCACTAGAGGAGCTGAAATTACCTTGATTCATTTTGTGTTAGAAATGTAACGTTACCTCCTACCCTCTCCCCAACCTCAACCTCCTCTTTCCTCACCGCACATAACCTCCACCGCCTCATTCTAAATGGTACAAAGTAAAAATTTAGAAAACCGGATCTTGTGTAAAAGGTTCATAATTAGTAATGAATCTACTGTACACACACACACACACCCGCAAAGAGAACGGAAAAGAGAGAGATGAAGGAGAGAGAAAGAGGGAGAAATCTTACATTTGAAATCAGACGTTTGCAGGTCCAAGTTAACTAAACTCATTATATTCACAGGAAGACAGCACATTCGCCCCCTTCTCTCTTTACCCCAAGGCTCTCACCTAGGCAATCCAAACTGGGCAAATACCAAGAAACAACCCCCCTCTCAACCTCTCTACCTCCTCCCCTCCACCAGGCGTCCTCTCGGGAAGCTCGAGTATCAAAATAGCTCAAGAATTGGGGTTGCGGGGTCCCCGCCCCGGTGCTTACCTTCTTTGCGGCTTACACCACCCCGGTGGCTAGATCCTGGAGATAAACACTTGCATTTCCCAAAGTTAACCCAGTATACCAACCCGGAGCTTGCCCAGAGTCTATTCCAGCCTACACCGCTAGGAAGCCAACTTCAGCGAGCTCAATGAGGGGACCAAACTGGGGTTCGCTTTCCAAATGCTCCGCTCCAAAATCCGACTCTTCAGTCCCGATTTCAGTGTGAGCTGAACCTCAGAAAAGACGCTTCTTAAGGGCGACACGGGGCTGGCTTTACAGTGGGGCCAAGCCGGCTACCTAGAGTGCCACCACCTCGGACAAACCCGTTGGCTCTGTCCAAGGTGCTGAATGGACCCGGCTCTCCTCGATTACACACACTGCGAGCAGCAGGAGGAAAAGGCTAAAAAAAAAATCCCTAATTAAGTGACACTTGATATTACTCTGGACGGTTTCTTTCACTTCCTTACGTTTTGTCACGTGCGGACGGCTTTGCCAAAGCCATCCTGTTAATAGTTGATCACATGTGGATGAGACCCTTTTCTTCTATGAGAGGATTACCCGTTTCCTTATCAGTGATAAGCTCTTCTGACTTATTTTTTTCCCACCAACTCCACCCCCATTTACACCCAAACTCCCAGTCTCTACCCCATCCTTATCCCCCACTCCACCACAACCCCACACTAAAATAACATTATTTTTTTAGATGGCAATTAATCCCCTCGCGAATGTCAATTACATGCCCATCTATAAATCATAGAATATACTCATGCACCACGCATAGAGGCAAAGAATGAAATGCAGGAAAGCTGGAAGAGAAGCATCAGCCTTGAACAGCCAATATAACACACACACACACACCCCTCTCCAGCTCCAAGTTAGTTCCACGCAGTTCCACATTGCTGTGTTAAATCGCAAATGATTCCAATTAAAGTTGCACTGTGTAAAAAACCCGATTCTCCTGGCCTGAGTAGCTGCTGTTCTTTGGCGTGTGAAATGCCCGGAAGAGCTGTGGTGTGCCCGTTGTTAAGCAACATGTCAAGATTTTTCAATTATAATGCAGGGTTTATTGCTACTCACCATTGTGCCTTTGCTGTCCTGGAGACTCAAGTGTCTTAAAATCCCGTCTCCCCAACAGATGCTGGAAGGTAATGTGTCTTGTTTGAAGTCATCATGTGAGAAGTTCGGCTTTGCTCAGTGGATCGCCCACCACTTGGTGTGACTTATGAATCTAATAACCCTTTGCAATATCCGCAAGCTTAAACTCTCAACCACCTTGGCGACTACAGAAGACAAAGCAACTGGCATCGATGTGGAAAAACCTATAGATTTACGCAAACGTCCTCACTCGGAGAGACACGTTTCCTTTTGAGTTCTTACGTGATTCTAATGAATGAGCGAGGATGCCAATGACTGCCCAACTGCCCTGCTCTATAGTGGTTGGTTCCTGGAGCTGCCTCCCAACCGCTCGTCACTGGGTCCTGGTACAGAAAGTTCCCAGGGAAAGTGAGGCGTTTCAGGGTACCCTCATAAAAATAGCCCAGCCTGCACACCGCTCCCTTGCCCCCTGCTCAGGTCACACTTGGGGCTCCGGAAAAGCTAAGCTCGGCTGGGGAGCTGTCTCTGTCGCCAGGTAAGAAAACCTTCGCCTCGTCAGGCTAGGGCGGGAAGACCGCTGGGGAACTTGTTGCTTAACAGCGCCAGCAGGCTATCGCTTTAATAATAAAGCCGGAAAAAACGCACAGAGGGCGAG